CCCAAAGGCAGCTACTCAGCTGCTCACAGTAGATCCCACCATGGAGTTGATTACCAGTCTCATCATGGGGAATACTACATCCAGCTGCCCAGCCACTCAGCCAGGCCCAGCCAAGTTGACACACAAACATAACCACCACAAGGACTATCAGGAATTCTTCATAGAACTTAATGGACTAGGGACATTAAGACAGACTTCACCAAATAATTATAATATAAAGTAGGAATTTATGTTTTCAGTAGTTAAAGTATTTTACATTTCTTCTTCCTTTACAGATGGTGAAAAAAGCCAAGACTATGATGAAGAAGGCTCAGAAGAAGATGAATCGCTTGGGGAAGAAAGGGGAGGCGGATAGACACGTATTTGATATGAAACCCAAACACTTACTCTCTGGAAAGAGGAAATCTGGTAAAAAGGACAGGAGATAAGTGTGCTTTTTTATTGAAACTGTGTGCCTGAACTTTAGGGGTTTTTTGTTTGTTCGTTCATTGTTATTGTTGGTTGTGTGTGTGTGTGTAGTAAGATGTACAAAACCTAAAATGTACATTGTTTGAGTGTATAATTCAGTGGTGGTGAGTACACTTATGTCCCTGTTTTTTGGTTTGCTTTGGTATTTCATAATAGCAAATAAAGATTATAAATGGAAAATAAATAAAGCACTTGTTGCTTTGCTGAAAATCATGGTTAACCTTTATCTACACAGTTTTGAGGAATTTTTGTTATGCCATAATATTACGAATATTTTGAGTGGACAGTGGTTTATGCATTTAATGGAGTTTTGATTGCTTGAGAATCACTGAATTGGAAAGACTTAACTGATATAACTGTCGCTTTTGATGGAAAAAAACCTTGTCTTCTTTTGCAAGGGGGACCCACACACAAGTTACCCCTTTTTTGTGGGAAAAACATCTCCATTTGTGGACTTACAGAGATGACTGCCAGGGTCCATGTCCTATAGACCCGGGAGGGACTGGGTGGTGATGAGTGTATTTGGAACCCCAGGGCTGCAAATGCTCACTCCAATTATTTTCTATTCCTTTTGTGCTATACGTCATTGTAAATCTGTCTTCACCTGTTTTATCTTCAATAAATTTCTATCACAAAGTGGTTTTGATTTACTTGTTTGTTTCTTTCTTTTTTTTTGGTTTAGTTACAAATCACTATCAATTTGGGCAGATGAGAAGGGAAAAAATATATATGACATTTCTTTGTTATTTTCAAAACACAAAATACTTTATTTGGAATAAAATTTTCCGTAAGGCACTACAGCAATTAAATGTGGACATTTCCTGCTTCCTCTGCTCATGGATGAAAATTATGTGTATTCAGTAAAATACACAAACACCCTCCCTAAAAGCACCTCTTGAAGCCTATTTTCTATTTTAAAATTGAAAAAATTACGAGGTACAAACGAATTCAAACTCCTGAGCATCTTCCTAAAATGTATCTGAAACACAGTAAGATGTAACTTATATATATGATTAAATATTTAAAACATCCTTTCATGACCACAAAACAACCAGTATTAACAGTTGCTTTGTGTGCAGTAACCTGAAACTGGCATTCATCTCTTTAGCCAGTTCCCCCAGCTGACAAGGTACACTTTCAAAGTATACAGTGACATTCTTCTGTTGTATTTGGAGTATAATTCTTGCACACAGTCATGTTTAAAATGTTACACTACAGTTTTTTTTTTTTAACATTAAGATTTTCATATGCCGTAAAGAGTTTTATTAAAAGAGTGAAACTCCAAGAGGTATTCTCAGAAAATGTTAACCAGAGAACTGGTCTGAGGGTATCTTGGAATTGTGGAATTAATAAAATTCTTTTTATTTAATGTTGATTTGAGAGAGGTCCAGGTGGGAGGTTGGGACCAAGGAGAAAAGTAAAGCAAATACAAAGGTAATTTCAGACTTCTAAAAGGAGGTAGGGGAGCTCTGGTGGTATAGTGCCTAAGGCATTTGACTGCTAACCAGAAGGCTGGAGGTTCAAACCCACCAGCCACTCCTGGAAGGAAGGTTGGGTGGGCAATCTGCTTCCATAGTGATACCGCCTCGGAAACGCAAGGAGGGGTCGCTATGAGTCAGATCCGACTCTACGGCAGTGAGTAAAAGTAGACGAAAGCAGCATCAACAAGAGGTGAAATACATAAATTGCTTGGCCCCAGACTAAAACGTTATTTAATTTGATGTTTAAAGCTGCCCCTTTGGAGGAAAAAGTGGGCTTGTTTTTGTTGTCATTGTGTAGGCTCCAACCAGTTATTGGAGCCTAATGATAGGTTCTGGAGTGGGAATGTGTGTGATTCTGAGCAAGCCATCAAGACACTTTTCACACCACAGATAAGATCCAGCCTTCAGACTTCTGTCAGAGCTAAAATGACTCTCAGGCAGTCACTGTGTTCTGTCCATTGTTCCCAGTGCTCAGGAACCTGATGGCTTATTTTTCTGGCAGAGCATAAATCTTTGGAAATTTTGTCATTATGTAAATTCCTCATTATTCTTACAGCCCCTGGAATATAAGTGTCTCTGCACTTTGATCCCAGTACCTCTCTGATTTCTTTTCCTGCTGTCTTTTACTCCCCAGATTTCCAGTGTTCTCTTTAGAACCCTCATTCCATGGTAAACATGTTCCCTTGCCTCCTCAACCTGGATGAAAACCTTTAACGCTATACCTATTTCAACAACTCTTAGAATTTCTTCCATGGTTATAATTCTTCCAGGTTTTCTGTTTTCACTAGAGCCAATGCTATTAATCAAATTTTTCTGAGTCCATTTTACAGCGCTTCATATCTATTAGCTTAGAGTTTTGGAAACTCTTAATAATTTTTGGAAAAGGCTCTGTATTAGTTGCTGACAAGATGTCTCTTTATCCCTATATTTAGTTTGCATTTTCTAAAAACAAGTACATTTTCTTACATAAACAATAGAATTGGTGAAATCAGGAAATAACTTTTCAGGAAGTATTGTTCAACCAACATTTATCAATGGAGGTAAAACATTACAAATGGTTCTTAAATGTGCTTATACAAGTAATCTTAACATAAACATTAAAACTTTGGGGAGAGTTCAAACTATATTCTATTAGTTCAATACAATAAAATAACATTGATAAAATACTATTGTGTAATCTACAGACTTTATTCAGATTTTGGAAATGGCCATAATAACCCCAAGATTCCTGCAAAATAGTAAGTTCTCAAGGAAGAATTAATTTTATCTGATTTTTATTATGAATTAGGAAAGTGGCCAAATTCATATGCCAACACCGAAGAATTTAATGAGCATTGAAATAAAAGTTTTCAGTCAACATTTAATCAGAAAATCAATGAATTAAAATAGCTTTTACAAGCTTTCTGATTTTTCGTTACAGCATTTTCCATGCTAAACATTTTAATAAATGTAACAGCAATAAGATTTCATTAAAAAGATTCACCTCTTCTTCTACCTTGAAGGAAATTACACAATTTAATTTTTTAATTATGTTTATACACTAACAAGCATATATTTCTTGTAAGTCAGGACTAGCTGATGTAAAACAAAACAAGGAACAAGAATAATTTTTTTGTTTAACTCACTGGATGATAAGATAGTATTTTCCTGAGATTTATTTACTAAATTAAAACTTTTTTTCCCCCCATATATATTGTCAGCACATGCATCTAAAGGAGGAAATTCTTCAAGGACATGTGTTCAAATCACAGGGCAGAGGTCACCATGGAGACTCCTCTTTAGGGTCTGGGAGGGAGAGGAGGTGGTTGGGAAACAGGAACCATGTACAAGAGTACTGGCTTCCTCATTGCCATCACCCCTCCTGTGCAGCTGTGCCCCATTGATGCTCTTCTGCCCCCTGTCTGGCCTTACCCTTAATTTGAGAGAATACCAGCAAGAGGTTTAGAAGCAAGTTTTATATATGTAGATCTTTTGCAAGATTTTGCAAGGAGTTCTGGTGGTGTAGTGGCTAAGGCATTTGGCTGCTAACCAAAGGTCAGTGATTCGAACTCCACGGAAGAAAAATGAATCAGTCTGCTTCTGTAAAGATTTATAGCCTTGGAAACCTAGTAGGGGTCACTGTGAGTCGGGATCAATTTGATGGCAGTGAGTGTGGTTTGTTTTGCAAGATTTTGCAGACGTTGTTCCAATGAAACAGCTCACTCCGAAACCTCAGAGGCTCCAAGAGGGGAAGGGCTGAGGGATACTGAAGCTACCAGAAAGAAAGTTTTGGGAGAAAAAGTGTTCCCCTAATCAAGAGAAGCAGTTGAAAATTTAAGGCATGGAAGAACATCATAAGGGAGCACTTAGGTAAAATAAAGTGGAATCTTAAGCTAAATGTAAATGATGAATGGAATTTCAAAACAATATCCTTTCTGCAATTGAGCATTGATAACATGAATGTCATTTTAACCTGAAAGAGGTACAGATAACGTGGTTTGGATTGTAGGCCTTAACTTTGAACGTTATTTTCCTACATATTTTCACAGTCTGTATATTTTATCAGGCTCAACATATGGGGAGATATCATGTAAATGATGCCACCATTTGAACAGAATATCCTCTGCAATGGTTTTAAACCATGGGGTGAACCTTGCCTCACCCCTGGCCTCCTTTTTCAGGAGCTCCTCCAGCTCCTCCTTGGTTACGTATCTATAATCTTTGATCTCCATGGGATCTGGATTCACTGTAAAGTTTTTCCTCACAAACAGAAGATAGCCAATTTCATTTTCTCCCCAGATTCCATCTGATCGACTCTTGTGGTAATTTCGCGTCATGAAAATGATATCGTTTGTGGAAATCTGTGACACAAATTCATCCAGCTTTAAATCAATTATGCAGAAAGTAAAGATTTTAGAACACCTTTTTTTCCCTCCCATTCAAAGAATGTGTACAGTACTGTATTAGTAAGTTGGTTCTAACTCACAGTGACCCCATGTGTGTGGGGTAGAACTGCTCCATGGGGTTTTCTTGGCTGTTATATTAACAGTAGTAGCAGATCACCAGGCCTGATTCCCAAGGCACTACTGGCCACTCCATACCTACATCCTTTTTAAGCACTGGGTAGGTCACAGTGAAAGTGCCAGAGTGGTGCAAATGACTTACTCTTGACTACCACTCAAGAGACGGGAGCTCTGGTGGCGTAGTGCCTAAGGCACTTGACTGCTAACCAGAAGGCTAGTGGTTCAAACCCACCAGCCACTCCTCAGAAGGGAAAATTGGGCAATCTACTTGTGTAGAGATACCCCCTCAGAGGGGTTGCTATGAGATGAATTGACTCAACAACAGTGAGTTTGGCTTGTTTTTTTTTTTAATGCTCAACAGTACCTAACAACAACAACTAACCTAAAAGTTGGTGGTTTGAACTCACCCAGTGCTGTTTCAGGACACAGGCCTGGTATTAGTCGAACAGCCAAGAAAACCCTATGGAGCTGTTCTACTCTTATAACATGGGTCACTGTGAGTTGAAATCAACTCAACAGCAACTAACAACAACAGAGCATAGTGAAGAAGTCACAATTCTGGCTTTGATACTTCCATTTTGTTGTGCACACAATGAAAGTTACAGGCATAGAACATGAGAAGTGCTGTAACACATTACTGAGTAAATTTCTGGGGAGCATTCACGCATTGATTTCAGGGAACAATCTCTTTAGTATGTTTTCACAGATTATCCTGTGAATCAGACTTGCTGCTGTTCCACAAGGAAGCTCTATTTATTATAGAAATAAATGCCCATTAATTCAGTGTCTACTTCTTAAGTAATAACATCTAGATCAAAATATATTTCCATGTGACAACAGCAACAAGATAATTGAAATCCACAAACACATTTAAAAGCTCATTTCAGCCCCATAGTTATATCTATCTTTCTAGACTTTCTATCAGGATCAAGAATCCTGATACAGTTAAACTTTTATCTGATTAAGTTTTATGAAAGTTAGTAAACTTTCATGAAAAGAATAAGCAACAAGTGGCCCTTGCACTGTTCTATTCAAGACTTGTTCTGTAAATCAAGGATAAGCTATTGTGGGCAGTAGGTGGGTACCTGCTCGGGGGGAATCCCCAGCTCAGCCTGCAGCTGTCTCAAGGCCGCTCTCCTAATTCCAATGGCATCTTTTTCTTCCAGTTCCAGTGGGTTGTATAATGGATGACTAGAACAGCTGTCTGAAAAACACCCTGAAAAACATACATAAAGTGTCTAGTTCTAGTGTGAATTCCTTTTTCTAAAATGACATAATTTTCTTCTCAGTCATTAGAAGATGAAATAAAATTAATTTTCAAGTGATGGGCTTTCAACATATCATTAGTTCATCTTCCCAGTTCTTGGCCACAAAATATTTACATTAAATTGACAATTCCTTAGAACCACAAGTCTCTAATATCTTTTATTATTCCCAAACCTGCATTTCTAAAACAAACAAATCCCAAAAACCCTCACAAAAAATTGTAAACTGCCTTGTGGTAGTTTGTATGTCAGCGTAGCTGGGCCTGGTTGAGTGCCTGGGCAGCTGGATGTAGTTATTCCCCATGGTGAGATTGGTAATTAACTCCATGGTGGAATATATTGGAGCACCTGAGTAGCTGCTTTAGGGATGTGGTCTGCTTCCCATATATAAGAAGCAGCTTTAGGAATGGTCTTGAGTTTATGGCATGCTTGACCCTGCATATAGCCAAGTTGTTCAGCAACCTGCCATGCTCTGCTGATCTTGGGACTTTTTTTTTTTTTTTTAATTTTATTTTGATTTGGGTGAAGATTTACAGAGTAAATTCACTTTTCATACAGCAGTTCACACAATATACTTTGTCTCACGTCATTGACCAAAATTTACAATGCCACAGCTCCCTTCCCACTTCTTCCCCATAGTTACCTCTTCCCAGTGTCCATCCCTCCATACTCTTCTGCGCCCTGAGCTGTCTCCCTGTGCATAAGCAGCCCTTCCTTCTCCCATGATTGTTCTCTCCAGGGCGTGTGTCTACTTCAGGTAAATGTTTAATTCACATGCCTGTACTTTGCTTGTCTGGAAACCACAGGTGTGGCTTCAATTCCAGACCCGCAGGGCAGCTAGGGGCCATAGTCTCAGTGGTTACACCAGGCTCTATTGGACCAGCAAACCTGGTCCCCACCTTCTTTTTTCTTTTTTTTTTTTTTTTTGCCTCCAAATGATTTTGAGTTTTGTTCCACATTGTTCTCCCTCTCTATCCAGGATCTCCTACATCCCTTCAAAGTGGATGACAGCGGTAGCCGGGCACCATCTAGTTCTTCTGGTCTCATAGTTGTATAGGTTGCAGATCGGATGGTGTACCAGTTGCTAGGACTGACTGTTTCCATTAATTTTTATTTTCTTCTTCTTGACGAGGAGAGACTCATTGTTGCATCTAGATGGCAGCTTGCTAGCTTTTAAGATCCCAGTCACTACTCGCCAAAGTAGGAGGTGGAACAATGTTTTATATAGTATGTTATGCCAATTGAGCTTGATGTCCCCTGCGACTATGGTCCTGATCTTGGGACTTTTAATGGACTCCAATCAATGGCCTGCCATGTGGTTTGATAATATCGGGACTGTGCTTTTTCACTTGTTGACTTTGGGTTTGTCAGCCTCAGTGGCTAGCAGCTTCCTGAGCAAAGAGGTGCCTCTAGCTTCAGTGGGTCAGGAGCCAGAGGCAGAGCTGAAGCTCAAGGTCAAGGGGCTTTCACCCAGCTCCTAGAGCCTGACACTTAGGACTTACTTAAAGCCTCCTAAATTGTAAGAGAATAAACTGGTCAAGCATCCCATTTGTGGTATACTTCTGTCACAGTGGCACTAGGTAACCAAAACATGCCTGCGATTTGAGTTCCCTCCATTGTCTAATGGGGTCGTTCTACTTTCCAAAAACAAAGTTGTCCATGGGTTTGCTAACTAGTCAAGGCTCCAGATGACCTGAAGGAAAAACAAGTATGAAGCCAATATCTTTTTCAATAAGCTCCAATGAATGGACTTACCTGGAAAAGTGTATTTCTTGTCTGATCTCTCCTGAATCAAGAGTTGGTCATTCATATTGAACAGGACAACACTGAAGCTTCGGTGTAACAGCCCTGAAAGAACAAGTGTCAGTTAAACAGTGTAGAATTTATATATACACGAAGGTTATGTCAACAGTTTTTGCTTCATTCAGCCAAGAACTTGTAACAACAAAATCCACATTTACAGTCACTACATAGGAGCTTGGGAGCTCTGGTAGCATAGTGCCTAAGGCACTTGACTGCTAACCAGAAGGCTGGCGGTTCAAACCTACCAGCCACTCCTTGGAAGGAAGGTTAGGCAATCTCCTTCCATAGTGATACTGCCTTGGAAACCCAAGGAGGGGTCACTATGAGTCGGGGCCGACTCAACGGCACACAACAACATGGGAACATACTGGGCACTTTGCTAAGCACTTCATTGACTCAGTTATGATACAACTTCGAGCTAGGTATTATTATTTTGCTCTATTTTATAATTAAGAAAGCTAAAAAGTAAAGAAGTTAAGTAATTCACTCCAAGTAATACAGAGAAAGATGTGGCATTCTGCTTCTGTAAAGATTACAGCTTTGGAAACCTTATGGGGCAGTCCTGTCCTGTCCTATAGGGTTGTTATGAGTCAAAATTGACTCAGTGACAGTCAGTTTTGGAACACAGATGTAGGTCCCTGTGTGGCACACATGATTCGTGCTCCACTATGCATCTGGTTAGCATTTGATTGCTAACCAAAAGGTTGGCAGGTCAAACCCACCAGCCACTCTATGAAAGGAAGACAGGGCAATCTAATTCCATAAAGATTTACTGCCTCAGAAACCCAATAGGGGTGACTATGAGTTGGAATCGACTTGATAGCAATGGATACTAACCTAAAGGTTGGCAGTTCTAACCCACCCAGGGTCAGTATGGAATAAACAGATCACAGTTCTGTTCTGTAACACTTGAGGTCATCATGAGTCAGAATCACTTCAGTGGCAATGAGTTTCTTTTTTTCTTTTTTGTTGTTTTTAACACAGAGGTAGAATTAATATAGAATTTATATAATTTGTACTATAAAACCTGTGGCCTTCATCACCACAGCATGCTATTATGGCTGTGCAATATAGGTTGAGAAGAGGGAAAACCTAACTAAGCAAAACTGAATTTTCAGGCTGTTGAGCTTATCATAACAGTTGAAGCAAAGGAAGGGCTCACAATAAAATGACTGATCATTTCTTGAATTTTCTTCAAAGCATGACAAATGCAGAAGCATCACATGTGTGGAGTGTCTCATTCTCATTTCTGAAAATACTTCCCTCCACACATTTTCAGATTCTGGAAAATAGAGCTGACAAGGTAGATCTCTGAAACACAGACATGAACATCTGTTCACCTTACCCTTATCAACGTTTTCATTCAGGTGGCAATTCTTCTTTGATTCAGCTCCAATGACCTTGTCATTTTCATCAATGACTATGCACATCTCTTCCAGTCGCCGTGTCTGATGTTCATCTATGTGATTTAGGCTGACCTCAGACATAACTGCAAACACTGATTGTTTTTGGAACAGATAATGTCACCAATTTTTCTTATAAAGGAACAGAAAAGCAGAACATATAGCCAAGACCTCAACTGTAAACAATACAACTTACACAAAATAGAATAGCAATAATTATGTGGAGTAGGATGATGTTTGACACAATAACCACAACAATGGACTCAAACATATCAAAGATTATGAAGTTCTTACAGGACTGACAGGGCAGTGTATTCATAAGGTCGCCATAAGTTGGAGCTAACTTGATGGCAACTAAAAAGAACAATAACACCAACAACAGGATAATGTTTATAATTTGACATTTAGCCATGTTGGAAACTCAAAGCATGTCAACATTTCTGATTTTTATTGTTTGACAAGGTTTTGGAAACCTTAGACTTTGACAAGAGTGATCTGTAGAAATAAAGGAGGAAGATATAACTTGCCTATGGGGATTCAACAACACTGGTCACTGGGCCTTCTTTTATTTGTGTTAAACTTACCTTGTTCCAAAAATGAGATATATGGGAATGAAAGAAATCAAAGGTTCCAACAGTAACCAGCACAACTCAGCTCTTTATAGTGGACATTTGTCCCAAGGAAACTGGGAGATGAGAGGACATGAACTGGATATCATTACTCAAAGGAAGCAAGGATAGAAAATGCACAATATGTCATCCATAAAATGAGGGTTATGGGGCAAACAGAAACCTGCACTAACCTTTCCTGAAGATCAGGATTCACTAAACACCAAGCGTTCTCTCTGAAGCCTGGAAAATAAATGCACAGTCCAAGCTTGCATTCCTTTTGTATACAGTGGCTGCATGTGTAGGTCTGGGTACCAGTATGTGTACGTATGTTTATGTTCCCTTTGAACTAAGACTTTAATTCAAAATAAAATTAGTGACTAGGTAAGAAAACAGTACATTCTGTTTCATAATGACCAAGGACCAGGGTGAAAGTTATATTTTCTTCATAAATTAGCATAACATAAAAAAAAAAAACACTGCCGTGGAGTTGGATCCGACTCACAGTGACCCCTCCTTGGGTTTCTGAGGCAGTATCACTACAGAAGTAGATTGCCCAACCTTCCTTCCAAGGAGTGGCTGGTGGGTTTGAACCGCCAGCCTTCTGGTTAGCAGTCAAATGCCTTAGGCACTATGCTGCCAGAGCTCCTTAGCATGACATAGTGGATTACATATTTTATGGATTAAACTGTGCCCCCCAAAACATAGGTTGTAAATCCTAATCCCTACACCTGTGGTTATAACCTCATTTGGGAGTGGGTTTTCTTTGTCAAGAGGCCATTATCAGTGTAGGGTGTATTTTTAGCCAATCATCTTTGAGATATAAAAAGAGCAGATTAGGCACAGAGAACCAAGCAGAGATGGGAGAAGATAAATGCCATACCACATGAAAATCACCAGGGGACCAAGAAACAAGGACCTTCCCAGAGTTGAGAGAGAGAGAGAAAGTCTTCCCCTAGAGCTGGTGTCCTGAATTTGGACTTCTAGTTTTCTAAACTGTGAAAAAATACATTTCTGTTTCTTAAAGCCACCTGTCTTAGACTGGGTTCTCTAGAGGAGCAAAACCAGTGACGCTAGAGGGGGTGGGGGGAGATTGAGAGAGAGATTGAGGAAAAGGCTCATACAGTTTTGGAGGCAGGCAAGTCCCAAATCCGTGGGTCAGGTGTCAAGCTGAAGGCTTCTCCTGACTCACGTTGCAGGGGCTGATGAACCCCAAAGTGGATGGCCAGACAGAAGACTGATGGCTCACAGTGTTGCAGGAGCTGGCAAATTCCAAAATCTGCAGGTCAGGTGACAGGCTTTCAAAGGATGCTGAGTCAGATGCAGGACTGAGACAGACAGAGCTTTGCCAGAACATCCATATGTGTTGGAAGAAGGCAACTCCCCTTTCACCTGACTGGCTGCTCATATCAGCTCACAAAGTGGAGGATGATTACATAATATCTTCCAAACCACTGAGAATCATGTTCTAGCCGAGTTGGTACATAACCATCACACCACCCACTTGTATTTCTGTTATACACCACTAGATAATTAAGACACTAAGTATTTAATGCCTGATTATAGCTAAGCTTCTATGAATTCTCCTGGGAGAGTTTGCAGTAGCATAAAACTATCAGGGAAGAGAGAGTTTTTAGATTTCAAAGCTGTTTGAAAAACGATACAGTTTTGAAATCATATAGAAAGAGTGAATATAAAGGAACAAAAAAGTTAAGAAAAACACACTGTAACAAAATCTACAACAAAAAGCAGGTGAGGTAATATTAACCTAACCAAACTCATTACCGTTGAGTCGGATCCTTCTCACAGTGACCCCTCCTTGGGTTTCAGAAACGGTATCACAACAAAAGTAGATTGCCCTATCTTTCTTCTGAGGAGTGGCTTCTGGGTTTGAACCGCCAGCCTCTGGTTAGCAGTCAAATGCCTTAGGCACTACACCACCAGAGCTCCTGAGGTAATATTAATATCAGTCCAAATACAAGTAAAAACATTGAACTAGAGAGAATGTAATAAAGTTCTGTTAAAATGGAACTCCAAAGTAAATTTAAAAAAAAAATGCGGCTGGATGGGAAGGGATCTGAATGAGGAGATGAGAAGGGACCAGGCAGGAAAAATTTGACTAAGGAGAATTCTAAGCAGAGGGAAGAGCTACCACCATTAAGTTGATTCTGACTCATAGTGACCTCCATTGGGTTTCCAAGGCTGTAAATCTTTAGAGAAGTAGATTGCCTCATCTTCCTCCTACAGAACAGCTGGTGGGTTTGAAATGACAACCTTTTGGTTAGCAGCCAGATGCCTTACCTACCACACCATCAAAGTTCCTCAAGCAGAGTGGAGAAGCTAGTGCAAAAGGCTCAAGGCAGGAATAAATCAGACTTGTGAAGCTAGTGAGATCAGAGCTTAGAGAGCAAAGATGAGATCAGAGAGGCTGGCAGGCTCCAGCTTATACAAAGCCTTGTAAACAGTGCTTGGAGTGAAATCTTAGTGCAATGAAGAGCTGTGAGATAGTTCAAGCAAGGGAGCACTGTGATTTGATTTGTTTTAAAAAGATCAGATTTAGCCATTCTGATAAGTATATATATAGGATGCTATGTGGTAAATATTGGATTAGAGGAGTGAACTTTGAAGCTAGAGGCTATTTAGGACTTCAATATGTTAGGAGATATACAGTCTAGGGAAGGGGTGAGTTAAGTAGCCTGTATACTCTATGAGGTAGCACTATTATATCCCAATTTTAAGAAAAGAAAATTGAGGTACAGAGAAGTTAAATAACTTATTTAATGGCCTACAGTTACCAAGATTCTAGAGCTGGATAATAACATCAGAAAACCAAACCAAATTCACTGCTGTCAAATTGGACCTGACTCATAGTGACCCCTCCTTGGGTTTCCGAGGCAGTATCACTATAGAAATAGACCACCCAGTCTTCCTGCAGAAGAGTGGCAAGTGGGTTTGAACCACCAGCCTTCTGGTTAGCAGTCAAATGCCTTTGGCACTACGCCACCAGAGCTCCTCAGTAACATCAGAGCTAGAGTGAAATGGGCACAGCTTCCCAGGTATCCTTGCTACTCCAAATACTCATAAACAGGAGTGTTGTGGTTACCTAGTGCCACTCTGACAGAAATATACCACAAATGGGATGGCCTTAACAAGCAGGAGTTTATTATTACAATCTGGAGGCTTTAAGTCCAAGTTCAAAGTGCCAGGCTCTAGGGGCTGGGTGAAAGCCCCTCGACCTTGAGGTCCAGCTCTGCCTCCTGCTCCCTGCCCACTGGAGCTAGAGGCATTTCTTCACTCAGACAGCTGCTGGCTGCTGAGGCTGAGAAGCCCCAAGTTTGACAAGTAAAAAGGCACAGTCCCAATGTTATCAATCCACACAGCAGGCTATTAACTTAATCCATTGTATGTCCCAAGGTCGGCAGAGCATGGCAAGCTGCTGAGCAACAACACGGTTACATGCAGGGTCCAAGTGTGCCATAGGCTAGAGACCATGCCCAAGGCTTCTCCTTATATACAGGAGGCAGACCACATCCCAAAGGCCCTCAGCTGCTTGTGGTAGATCCCACCATGGAGTTGATTGCCAGTCTCATCATGGGGAATAACTACCACCAGCTGCCCAGCCACTCAACCAGGCCCAGCCAAGCAGACACACAAACATAACTACCACAAGGAGTCATTTTATATTATTGGCTTCAGTCCTGTCCAGTTGCCATCAAGTTGACTCTGACTCATGGCAACTCCGTTTGTGTCAGAATAGAACTGTGCTCTGTAGGGTTTTAGAAAGCAGATCATTAAGCCTTTCTTTCCAAGTGGATTCACACTTCCAACATTTTAGTTAGCAGCTGAGCATGTTAACCAGCTAGGCCCATACATTTTTGGATGCTAGTAGGTTTTTTTTTTTTTTTTTTGTTAGTCTCATGAGCATACTCTATGATAATGGAAGAAGAAATCTCTTGAGAATTTTCTTATAATTGAAATTTTTTATCGAGATAATTACAGATTTTCATGAGGTTGTAAGAAATAATACAGAGCTGTCCCATGTATCTTATACTCAATTTCCTCCAATGACAACATCTCCCAAAGGATAATATCATAGCCAGGATATTGATGTAATATAAAACGTGAATCTTATTCAAATCTTATCAGTTTTACTTGCACTGATTTATATGTGCATGTGGGTTTATATCTATACAGTTTTATTACATCTGTAGGTTCATACATCTACCATAACAATCAAGCTACAGAAAAGTTCCAGCAACCAAAACATCTCTGATTTTCACCTTTATCACCATACCCACTTCCCTTTCATCTCCTCCTCCCAGTCCCTAAGCCCTGACAACCATTAATCTTTTTTTTTTTTTTTTTTAATTAGTTATAATTCCCTGGGGGTTCCTCAAAGTTGTATGTATCAATAGTTTGTTTCTTTTTATTGGTGAGTAGTGTTCCATGGTATGGATGTACCACATTTTATTTAAC